GGCCTCAACACACAATTCTATATCTTGGTAACCTTAAAAAACATTGATATTGGTTATTTCCCAAAGTTCTAACTTAATCAGTTCACGCTTTTTTATGTTAATCATAAAACGGCTCTGATAAATCAATACACCACTACTCATCATCTTTGGCATCTTGAATATCAAGTTTTTTCAACGAAGAAAAGACTGCAGGTCATTTACCACGGATATACCACAAAAATTGAGTTTATTGAAAATTCAATATCTCAATCAAGAAATATTCTTTTTGCCTGAAACTTTCAGAATATTGTTCTAGTTATTTGATCTATTTATGAGTAATATTTCAGATTGAAAATTTAATACAACGACTATAATCCAGATTCAAAGATCCTAAAGAACGACTTTCATTTACTATATTTTTCTTCGAGAAACATAGTATGAAGTCCACAAAAATAATAAGTTACCAACAATTAACATGAGTTGATATTTAGTATAAAAACAAATCAATGACTATGAAATGTTCGATGCAAAAGTATAAGAGTATTTTAGTGTTCATGTTTACGTTTAGTTTTTGTCAATAGTTGTTGAATTGTTTGATGATGTTGGTGATTGAGATTTGATAGCATTTTTTATGGCATCCTTTGTTTTTGTTTCAATATCTATTGTATTATCTGATTGAGAGATATTTTGATCTTGTTGAATGGTGAAAGCTTGTTCTTTGTTGTTGGTAGACTTTGAGTTTTTAGACATAACATCGAAATTAAGACGTCCCGATAATGGATGTAACATTTTCGCACTCATGCTATTAAAAACATCAAAACATAGATCAATAAATAGTGTGTAAATCTATATTTATTTTTGAATATTTTTTATGAAGAAAGCAACCAAATTTTCCTTTATAAAAGAAATGAACTTAACTTAAATAATTAGAGTAGAAGCGAGATCTTTTCTTTCCTATCAATGAATATTACGATTAATAAATAGTTCGAATAGATCAAAACTGGAGACAATAAATTGTCTCATTATAATACTTTCGTTTTTCTATCAGTCTAAAACAGTCGAATATAAAAACTTTCCGAAGATAAATCTATTTTTGTACTAATCAATGATTATTTTATTAGAACATAGAGAACATTCATATAAATCATTCTGGTTTTCGTGACATAAATTTAACAAGAAAATGAATGAAGTTTTAACAATAAAAGAGGATATCAGTTAGATTTATGCAACTCACTTTGCTTGTCTGTGAGAGATTTAATGGTTAAGGTGATAACAATAATGCTAAAAGAAAATGATAGCGCACACTTTTCTTTCTTTATCAGTACACTCAATTCGTCAACACTTGCATGAGTGTTGTGTAATATTACCCAGTATGCAGGATTAGCTTTTATAGCGCATTAAGTCAACAAATCGAATTGCAAGATTAATAGTAAATATAACTACTTGATAATCAAATAGTTAACAAAAATTAAGCTATTATGTAAGAAAATAAAATAAAAATTAGAGATAAGTAATTTTATTTTTTGTATATTTCATAAAATGATTGTTTTAATAT